CTACTGAGGGGTTGAGAGTTGAAACTTGGTATGGGTTGCTACATATATTAGTGGTAGTACGAGCAAGTTATTACATTTTCGGCTTACTATATTGTCGATAGTCAAAGATAACCGTATTTTAAATGTTTATCAGTAATTCATTTAGTTTTCTGTGTCTTTATAGATTTATAGAATTAATTTCTGTATGTTTCACGATGGTGGTTTTCCAATACTTCGAGTTTGGAATTTTATAGTGTTATGATCATCAGTTAATGCCAAGGTCACATGTTTTGTGTGAGCTGGTGCAGGAGCGGTGCATAGATTCTACTGTGGTTTCATATTTTGGTATACTATGTCCCCAGTAGCTCACAAGTACGAGGTCGGAGATAGGCTTTTTTGTTTTGAGCCTGATCCCTCCAAAGCCAAGCTTATTTATCAGGCTAAGGTTTCCTTTGTTTTACTGGCAATTGTTCTTTAGGTTACACAACTGTGTGGGTTTGCTAGCAGTGGACGCTCTCGTGTTCCGCTTTATTGCGTTCACTTCCTTGGTTGGAAGCAGAAATGGGACAGAGAGGTTTCTGAGGATCTTCTTATGGATATTAATAGTTTCACTAGGATGTTGAAACAGAAAATCGACGAGCTGGCCATTAAAGTACCTCCATTTGCGCTAACACCAATTAACTTCACTGCCTTTAGATAAAAGACAAGGAAAAGCGTAAAGAACGGATTGACACTGTTTTGATGAGCGCAGCAAAAGCTCGTGATGATGTTGACTGGGATAGTCTTCCTGGCACGTGGAAAAAGGATGAAGTGCTCTCCAAGGCTCGTGCTGTACGTTTGTTCTGTTTCGCAGCATAATCTTCCTTGCAGTCCAGTTTTTCTCAAGAATCGTCACAATTTCAGCCTCAGTCCGAGGCTCAAGAGGAGATGGAACTAGACCCAGATTCCCTAGCTCAATCAAATTTCGAATCGCTAGAAGCACACGCGAATTTCGCACCTAAAATAAAACTCCCCAACACATTGTACGCCATTCTAGAGAGCCATTGTCGTCCATTTGAGACGGCTCGGGGCTCATCTGTGAGACCTTTCGTCCCAGTGCCTTCATGGTGTTCTGTTTTACACCTTCTTCAAACTTACCTTAATGCGTTTCCCTACTTCATGCCTGTGAACAATTCGGTGGGGCCAAATAGAGGTAACAACGTCCTCTTCCCTTCAAGTAACTCTCGTTTTCGTACATCTTATCCATTCTAGTTGTTTTGCGGGAACGTTTCTCCAAGGCAGCAGCTGCGGAGTACATGAAAACAGATAGGAGCAGGCGTTTATGTGCGGAATTTTGCTCTAGCGTTCGTATTCTCTTCGACGCACTGCTGGAGGAGTATCTCCTCTACCCCAATGAACAAAGAAAACACTCGTGAGTAAATAGTATGCAGTTTTGCGGAATCCAATTCGGTGCTTTCATGAGCGCTTTTTGATGGAACCAGTCGTGTTTACCTGAAAATTTAGTCAGCTTAGTAAAATATCGTAGTGACCGTCGATAAAAGCAGGAGTTATTTTACGAAGCGCATATTGAAGAGATTACTGCGTTCTCATTGATATTGGGGTATTTTGGATCAGAAACACAGCTTTTGGTAAATGCACTCGAATTTTCGTGCATGGTTTTACTAGTGCCGTACACTCAGATGGACCATATTTAGTGATGCCTCAGTGAGACACGTGTAAATGCCTTAATAAGAATCAATGAAATATAATAGTGGAGCAATTTTTTATCTAGTAATGACATTGGTAATGTGTGCACATCAGTATCCAGGTTGCTAATCAAATGTACTTTTTTATATTAGCTTCATGCGACTTGTATGGATTTGTACGCGTTATAGAGTATAGAAGTTAGCTCCAATAGTTCGCTGCTCCCTTTCACACTCATGTCATGACAACTCAGTTAA